CCACCTAAGATGGCAAGCAATCTGATATAGGTTATACATGTGCAATCATGGAAACGTATTTCCACATTAGTCATGTTGTGAAAGAAAAAAAAAGAACAAGGGGCAGCTAGGTGGCACAGTGGATAGAGCACCAGCCCTGGAGTCAAGAGGACCTGAGTTCAAATGTGGCCTTAGACACTTAACACTAACTGTGTGACCCTAGACACGTCACCTAAAAGCCAAAAAAAAAAAAAAAAAAAAAAAAAGGAAAGGCCACACATCAAAAAAAAACCCCAGAATTTAAAATGTGAAAATAATATGCTTTGTTCTATATTCTGACTCCATAGTTCTTTCTCTGGATGTGGATAGCATTTTTATCATGAGTCTTTTGGAATTGTCTTGGATCATTGTATTGCTGAGAAGAGCTAAGTCTACCATAGTTGATCATAGAACAGTGTTACTGTTACTGTGTACAATGTTCTCCTGGTTCTGCTCACTTCACTATGCATCGGTTCATATAAATCTTACCAGGTTTTCCTGAAATCAGTAGTAGCATATGAGGTGGTATTCACACCCAACAGTTCTTAACAAAGCCAGCAGTCTATCCACAACACCATGCTATAAAATTTTAACACCATGCTCTAGGATTTAAGGATGAGTAAGAATTCAGGCAATGAGGGATGGGGGAGAGGATGGAGGATATTCCAGGAACATTGTGAACAAAATTGTGGACATCATTTTTGGGCACAGAGAGAAGTTCATATAGCAAGGTATGTGAGCCTTCATCACTGAATGGGCGCTGCCTCAGTTAAACCGATTAGATTAATAAGTCACTATCTCCCACTGCATCCAGGGCCATCTCCAGTCCTCCTGATCTAAATCTGGCCACTGGCCCGGATGGCTCCAGAGGAGAGAATGAGGCTGGTGACTTTACACGGCCCTCCCTCATTTAAATCCAATTCATTTGCATGTCATGGCATCACCTCCCTGATGTCATGGTGCTCTTTGAGAATGAAGGACAAATGACATCCTGGACATCCAACCTGTGAAGCCTTATCTCATGCTATTGTCATCCAGTTCTCCATCCTTCTGTCACACTGGACCAGCTGTTACCTGATCCTACACTGCCCTCTTCCAGCTCTCTGGCATATTTCTGTTCCTTCAAAGCTCAGCTCAGGTTTCACCTCACTCAGAAACTCTGCCCTGATTCCCTTGGCTGAAGGTATCCACTCACTCTCCTCCAATTTTCAGGTGTCACATTATCTGGTTCTTTTTTCACTGTCATTTTAGTAGAATATAAGGTCAGTGAAGGCAGTGACAGTATTTTGGTTTATCTCAGTATCCCCAGCACCCAACATAGTGCCTTACACATTAGATATGATAGGGACAGGGGATTCATAGGAATAAGGAATTCCTGGGTAAGGAAACTTTTACTGCTACAGATCCATACCTTCTCTGAAATTTAAGGTGTTAGGAAGAGGTGTCAAACACCATCAGTACCCACAGCACTCTCCAGTTTAGGCTGAACCAGATTAAAGTGCGACTGGGAAATACTGAACTAAATAAAAATACAATAGAACATAGATAATGTCAATATGTAGTTTTCTGAGTCAATAGGAGGCCCACAGGGATCCTTATGGTTTAATGGCCACTATTTCTATTTGAGTTTGATACTGTGGGTCAAAGTTTCCTAAGGCACTGAGAGATTAAGCAACTTGACCAGGGTCACCCAGCCAGCTGGGACTTGAACCCAGGGCTTGCTCTATCCCCCAAGCTATGCTGTTAACCTGTAGCAGGCACTTCATGAAAGTGCGTCAAATTGAATGAAGGAACTGAGACTGAGACAAAGTGATTTGGTCCAAGTCCCCAGGCTGGTAAGTCACAGAGCCAGATCTCCAACTGAACTCTCCTGAAGCCAAATCCACTGCCATTCTGATTCTGCCATTTTGCTTGCAGTATCCATAAGCTTCCAGGACCAAACAGGGCAGCACAGATATGGCATCAGAACCCAGCACTGTCACCAGCAAAGTCCATACTGGTGGCAGGGAAGGAAGGGAACAAGGATTTCCTAAGCACTCATTATGTGTCAGGAACTATGCTAAATGCTTTACAAATGTTCCATCGTTATTTGATCTTCACAACCACCTCTGTTGTTATGATCCCCATTTTACAATTGAGGAAACTGAGGCAGACAAAGGTTAAGTGACTTGTCCAGGGTCACACAGCTAGTATATGAGACCAAATTTGAACTCAGGTCTTCCTGACTTCAGGCCCAGCCTTCTATCCTGTACTAGTTAGCTGTCAAGGAAAAGATATAAAATTCAGCATGGCATTCTTGGAACAGGAGGGATATATTTTATGTATTGTGTGTACTCCTCAGCTTTGCATGACTGAGGCAACTCGTTCCCTCAACTTACCCTTGTAACAGCTTTGGAGAAACTAATTAAGAAAGGTATTTAGCAAGGAGACTGGCAGTCCCAGAACAAAATGAAAGATTTTTCTAATATAGGCAGTGCACATTTTTGGCCAGTTTGAATTCTACAGCTCTGCTCATTTGACATTGCCTAAAAAAGACAGAAAAGAGCACAGAAGCTCTGGCTCTATCACTGACAAGTTATGTGAACTTGGGTAGGTCCTTTCCCTTGGGGCCCCATCTGTAGATGGAGAGGAAGCTGGGTTAGATGACCTCTAATGTCTCTTCCTGTTCTAAATCTTCGATTTGGGGTAACTTCTTCCTCATGGAGTAGTGGAGATGAATGGTGTGCTTCGTGTATCCCTAAACCAGCCAACTTCAGGATTATTCCCCTCCCCCTAAATTGCCAACTCTTGTTACTAGGCAACTCGTTACTAAATTCAGAACAACTGATGTTTCAAAACCTGTTTCTGACACTTAAAATGATTTGTGGCCAAGTTATTCATCTATAAAATGGGAATATGACTCCCTCTGCCTCCCTTTTAGGTTCTAGTGAGGATCAAATTATGTGGAGTCCTTTCAAGTCAATGCCACTTGATGATCAGTTGAAGGAACTGGCCTTTTTTTAGCCTAGCGAATATTCAAAAGGGAATATGACAGCTGTCTTCAAACATTAGAAGGGCTGTCATTTAGAAAAGAGATCGGCTCCTTTGAGTTGGCCAGAGGGCAGAACTGGAAGCAGTGGGTAGAAGATGCCTGGAGGCAGATTTAGCTTGTGCTATGGAAAAATGCCATAGGATCAGAAACTTAAGTTTGGAAGGGACCTTGAAAGCCATGTAGTACAGCCTCCTGAATTTTACAAAAGAGGAAAGACCCAGACAGTCACAGATGTGAGGTCGCCTTCTTGACTCAAACACCAGACCCCTTCCACTTCCTAATAACTGGAATGGTCCCATAGTGGAACTGCCTGCCTGAAAAGGCAGTCATCTTCTTCCTGAAGTCTTTAAGCAAAGGCTGAATGACCATCTGTCTTGTATGTTGGGGAGGGATTTCTTATTCTGGCATTGACTGAACCAGATGGCCTCTGGAAATCCTTCCAGTTCTGAGATTCCAGGAGGTAAGGTCAGCATTTTGTAAATCATAGGCTTGAGGTCATTGTGATATAGATTTAGGGTTGGAATGGACCTTGGAAGGGCTCCTAGAGGTCATCTAATCCAACCCCCCCCCTTATTTAAAACTGTTATTGATATCTTTTGTTTCTACATCACCTAGTTTCCCTGGCAATCCCTCCTCCCACCTCCTAGAGATCCATCTCCTGTGACAATGGATTTTTTTCAAAATTTTTCCCTAATTACATGTAAATTTTTTTTAACATTAATCTTTCAAAACTTTGAGATCCAAGTTCTCTCCCTCCCTCCCTTACCTCCCCCCCACTGAGAAGGCAAGCAATTTGATACTGGTTATGCATGTGCAGTCACAAAATCTACTTCCATGATGAGTCATGTTGTGAAATAAAAGTCCCCAAAAAACAAGGAAAATAAAGTAAAAAAAGTATGCTTCATCTGCATTCAGAGCCCATCAGTTCTTTCTCTGTAGGTTGACAGCATTTTTCATTATGAATGCTTCAGAATCCTGCGACAACGAATTTTATAGAGAGAAAAGCTTCAGCAAACCACCCTGGAAAAACCCTGCCACCTTATGCTGAGTTCGACACTCACAGTGGCCTGCCCGGGCAAAGAAAGGACACAAGCCAAAAACTCCTATCACATATAATCGTTTCCTAATTATCCTGTATGGAGCTTGCTTTGATGACATGGGCTTACATGTCTCCCCCTTTAGACTGTGAGCACCTTGAGGACAGGGAGCCTCTTTTTGTACTCTCAGCACTTGGCACAGTGCCTGGCACACAGCAGGCGCTTAATAAATGTTGCTTGGTTGATAAAATGTCAGCTACAGTTATTATTGTTTATGAATAGGTAGCAGGTCCTCTTCTCCTCTCCCAAGTAGTGACACGACTCTTGAATGGCACTTTGGGGGAACGAAACTGAGATGTCCCGGGTATGGGGAACTTCCCTTCCTCCTCCACTGATGCTGATCAGCACCCGCCCTGGATTTGAGTGCGAGAGCTGCTTGGTGCACAGAGAGGTTAGGTGACTTGCCCAAGATCACACTGCCAGGATGTGGCAGAGGCACCTTGAACCTAGGGCTCCGACACTCAAACCACTGCACCACCCTGCCGCTTTCGAAGGGCACTTTAAAAGTTAGCTCAAGGGCTAGCTGCTCAAGGGCCGGCTCTTCTCCAGCCCTTTCAACAGACGCTTCTTCTTGACCGACGTTCAGACTGAGACCTTAGAAACCAAGGTGGCTTGGTCGGGCTGGCGCACGCGCGCTCCCCCTAACGGCCTTCAATAGCGGAGCGGCGCCTCCCCCACATCCTCTCACAACTACATTGGGCTCAAGGCGCACGCGCGACCCTCCCCCCTCCGAGGTTCTTCGCAGAGTCAGGCAGGGGCGGTCATTCGAAGTGCGCACGCGCATTGCTGCCGGTTCCTCCGTCTTCCGGGAGCCGGCGGGGCGGGAGCCTAAAGCGCGCTTCCGGCGTGGGCGGCGCAGGCGCGCTGTGTCGGGCGGGGGCCATGGCGGGGCAGGAGGATCCGGTGCAGCGGGAGATCCACCAGGACTGGGCGAACCGCGAGTACATCGAGCTCATCACCAGCAGCATCAAGAAGATCGCGGACTTCCTTAATTCCTTCGGTGAGTGCCTGGGAGGAGTCGGTGAAGGCGGCTGCTCCCCTGTTCCCCCCAACCTGAGCTCCCCCCCCAGCCACACCCCGCCCTCGCGCCGGGCCTCCCCCCGTGACCCCGACTCCACACTCCCCCACCCCCACCAATGGGTGAGGGGCGCCCTTTGCTAGCTGGGCCGGTAGGAGACTCCCTTCCCCCCCTTCTCGAGCGCTTCCGGGGGGAAGGTAGCCCCGAGGCTTCCCCAGGCCGGGAAGCGGGGAGGTCGTTGGTCAGGTAGGGAGACCCGGAGTAAAGACGTTGCCCCTGCCCCCCGGGAGCGCCCGCTCGAAAGGAGGCGGCGGCCCTGGCTACGGGATGGGGGCGCGGAAGTAGAAGGTCCTCCGAGGGGAAAGGCCTCCCCAGGGGTGGCTGGAAGGAGGTCGAGAGCTGGGGTGAGGAGGGAGACCGACGAGGGAGGAAACTGGGGCTCAGAGAACCAGGACGTGAATGAATGAGGGCGTTTATTAAGCGCTTACTGTGTGCAAAGCCAGGGGGTCACAAGGAGAAAAGTAAGACGGCCCCTGCCGTCAAGGAGCTCACCTTCTAAAGGGGGAGACAGCACATCCTTGAGGTTTCAGCTGCAGGTCAGATGGTGCTTAGGGTACAGCAGCAAAGCAGATGGTAATGTCTTTTCTTTCATGTCATTTCCTTTGAAACTAAGTAAGTCTTCAGATTCCATATCAGAGCTCTTCTCCAGATGAAATGCTCCTAGTCACCAAGTCTTCTGTTTTCAACCAATTCTCTGGCTCCATGTATTTCTTCAACAAGTATTTATTGAGTGCTGTTAGGGGCTGGGCACAGTGGGAGGCCTGGGCGTTTTGGGGGGAATATACAAAGGTGCATAAGACCCTGCCTACAGAAAGCTTGTAATCTTGTAGGAGAGATGAGAAATGTAACTGCCTGCCTTCAGTGATAGTTAAGTGATATAAGTGGAATACAGCTTGCCAGAAGAGGGGACTCTTACAGGAGAAATTGTAGCTATAGAATAGAATAGGGGTTAGACTTCAACAATTCAGTTCACCTTATGACTTCCTCTGTGCAAGAAGCTGTGCCAGATTCTGGAGATACAAAGAGGAAAGCCCTACAGACCTTGCTCTAAAGGAGTTTAACATTCTATTGGGAAGATCCAACATAGGTACAAGATAGTTTGATGAAGGAGAACCAAGGTCGGCTTCACTGAGGAAGAGTCCTCTAAGCTAAACCTGAAAGGAACATAAAGTTTCTGAGAGTTAGAGATGAGGAAGAAGACTTTGTGGTCATGAGAGTAGGATTGTGTAAATTACATGAAGTCTGAAAATAAAAGGAAGAATTTGGGGAGCAGCCAGTCGCCCCATATATGGCGTACATGGAAGGGTGGGTAATGTGAACTAAGTCTAGAAAGATGGGTTGGATCCAGCTTATATAGATCTTATATGCCAGGCTGAGGGATTGATTGATATTTGATCCTAAAGATAACATCAGATCCATGCCTTAAGATTATTTGGGCAGCTTATGTGATTGGAAGTCAGATTGAATGGAAACAGAAAGACCAATTATAGATGCTCAAGGTGACAGGTGAGAAGGGCGTGAGCTAGGATAGTGGCCATGTGAATGGAGAAAGCACTAATTGGAACTGCAGTGGGGATAGAATTGACAGAACTTGACAGGATATGGGGTATAAGGTAGTGGAATGATTGATTTTAAAGCTAAGTGAGGGCCTGAGCTGCATATATCTTAAGCAGAAAGAACTGCTGAAGACACAGAAACAGGGAAGGTTGAAGGAGGAACAGTTTTAGTGGGTACGTTATAAGATAATGAATTCTGCTGAATTATTATATAATTGAACATGTTGAACATATTCAATTGGTCTTGCCAAAAGAATTCCCTGGTAGTGTCAGTTGATATGTGGAATTGTGGAGTTGAAGAGAAAGATGAGGACTGGATATATAGATTTATCAAATGAGCAGAGGTAATTGAATTCATGGGAGCCAGTGAGATCACCAAGGGAGAAAGTGCAGAAAGATAAGAATAGGAACACCTACTTTGGGAGAAGTGGGAAGTGAATTGCTGATTCATCTAGTTTGAGGAGTAGTCAGAGAGGTAGGAAAAATAATGTCACTGAATCTGCATCCGAGGGAGGGGTGATTTTCCAGGTAGAGGGATTGAGTAGTTGGTTAGCAATGTCAAAAAATGCAAAAAAGATGAAGAATGAAGATCGAAAAAAGGCCCTGAGATTTAGCATCTAGGAGATCCTTTCTTGGTGGCCTTGTAGAAAACAGTTTCCATTGACTGGTGAGGCAGATTTCAAGGAGTTGAGGAATGAGTGGGTGGTGAGGTAGTGGAGGTGGTATAGGATTCTTTGTGGGAATTTGGCAGAGGAAGCCCTTAGGGATATAAGATAGTAGCTTGAGAACATAGCAGGATCAAATGGAGGATTTTTAAGGATGATGGAGACTTGGAAATGGTCGTACACAGCAGGGAAGAAGAGACTGAAGATGAGCAAGAGAATAATTGATAGGGCAGCCTCCTGGAAGAAATAGGAGGGGATCTGACTGGGGGCACTTTTTCCTCAGTGACTGGAGCTGAAGGAGGAGAAGCCTGAGGAAGATATAGAGAGGTTTTGAATTGAGTAGGGAAGATGAGGGTGCTCACAACCAGTGATCTCTGTTTTCTCAGTTAAGGTAGGAGGCAAGGCCATTAACTGAGAGATGGAATGGGGGGGTGTATGTATCTGACTTGAAGAAGGTTTGGAATATACCTTGTGGAGTGTATGTGAGAGTCACTCAGAAGAATAAAAGGATTGCCATGTAGCTGTGAGGGTCTGATTAAGATTAGATAACATGAATTTGTAGTGGAGTCAGTCAACGAACTTGCATGTTTTCCTCCACTGGCATTCAGCTCCCAGAGAAGGAGCAGAAAAGGCAGGTGGATGGTGCAGGGATGAGTGTTCGCAGGGCCTGAATAGCAGGTGGATAAAGGGAACAGTGCATAGCTGAACTAGTTACGTACAAGGTCAAGACTGTGAAGGGAGGAAAATGAGGCCAGACAGGAGTGATGGAATTGGAGAACAGCAAGGGATTGCGTGCCTGGGGAAATGAATAATTGGTTTAGGAGAAGAGAAGCAGGTCAAGAGATTACGATCAGAGAAGGGAACATCAAAATTCAAAATCAGGAAGTGGGAACAGGTATAGGCACAATATCAATATTAGGTCTATATCCCCAGAGAGATCAGAGAACAGGACCCATATGTGCAAAAGTATTTTTAGCAGATCTTTTCATTGTGACAAAGAATTGGAAACTGAAGAGGTGCCCCATCAGTTGGGGAATAGCCTAACAAATTATGGTATGTGAATGTGATAGAATACTATTGTACTTTCAGAAGTGATTGGGGGGGGGGGGGGGGCAGCTAGATGGCACAGTGGATATAGCACCGGCCCTGAAGTCAGGAGGACCTGAGTTCAAATCTGGCCTCAGACTAAACACTTGACACTTACTAGCTGTGTGACCCTGGGCAAGTCACTTAACCCCAATTGCCTAAAAAAAAGAGGTGATCAAGGGGATGTTTTCAGAGAAATCTAGAAGACTTCTATGAACTAATCAAGAGGGAAGCAAGCAGTACCAAGAGAGCTGCTTATACAGTAATGGCGATATTGTAAAGACAATTTTGAAAGAGCAACACAAAGACCAACTCCAATTCCAGAGGCCTTGTGATAGACTATCTGCTCGCCTTCAGATAGGGAAATGATCGATACGGGGTGGATTAATGCGTGGGGGGGGGGGGTGGCCAGCGTGATAGTTTATTTTGCTTGATTCTATATGCTTGTAATGAGTTTTGTTTTCCTTGCTTTCTCATGGCAGGAAAGGTGGGGAGAAGAGAATTTGGAGCTGAAAAATAAAATAAAATTGAATTAAAAAAACACTTTTAAATGATAGTAAACTCTTAGGATAAACATCCTGGAGAATGGCTAAGATGGAAGGAAAATTTAGGTCATGGCTTGAAGAGGGCCAGGTGTACTAGGTGATATTAATATGGGTATTGAAAACAATTGCACTAACCTCATAGGGTTGTTGTGGTGATCAAATGAGATGATATTTGTAAAAATGCCTAGTACAGAGTAGGTGCTATATAAATGCTTATTCCTTCTCTCTCAACTCCTCCCCCCCCACCTCCCACCCAAGTGCAGTTTGTCCGTCTGACCTCGGTATGGCTTAATGTCCTCAGTTCCTTTACTTAGGAGAAGGGTGAGGAATGGAGGGTAAAAACAGTTCTGGTTACTCAAAACCACCTCATCTGGAAGCCTTCCATGATCTCCCTGTCAGCCCTCACATAATAATTTCTAGAGAATGAATCATAGGCCTAGAGGCAGAAGTAACTTGAGAGGCCATTTAGTTCAACCCCCACATTTTACAGATGAGGAAATTGAGGTCCAGAGAAGTTAAATGACTTGCCCAAAGTCACACAGATAGTAAGTAGCTGAGACTAGACTTGAAGCCAAGGTCTTTGACTCTTAGCATATAATACTTTTGGTAGCTATCTCTGTTCTTGACCTATCTCTATTAGGCTACTTCAGGGCAGGATCTTGTCTTAGCTAAACTTTGTATCTGTCCCACATAAGAGGTATTTAAATGTTTGTTGATCGATTGATACCACGTTGGAAAGAAGGGAGAATTGTCAGTGTTGTAGATAGCTAGATGGCTGGCACTGGAGATGGTGCCAGGTTGGGAAGGATGCCTTTCATGTGTCCTGAGAAATCCAGAAATGGATGTGCTATATAGAGCACTGGTAGAGATCCCTGTACCAGAAGTCAAAAACTTGGGGTCCTTCTAATCCTACATTGGCCACTAAGTAGTTGTTAGGACCTAAGGCATGCTAAACATGCCCTTTTTGGGCCTTAGTTTCCTTATATGTAAAATGAAGGGTTTGGACTAAACAGTTGAAAGGGGTTCCTTCTTGCTGTACTATTCCATGAGTCTTTGAATTGGACAAAATTATAAACACTCCTATCCAGTAGAGCTGGGTTTAAATCAACTCGGAAAGTTGAAGACTTTGTGACTTTCAGTGTTAGTTCCTGACATCTTGGCCTTCCCGAGTCACTGGGAGAACTGAGATTCAACAATTTGATTCAACAATTTCTTAACTTAAAGGCAGAAGACCTTCCATGCTGTCCATTGGGAGGTCAGGGAGAGTGAGAGGATCATTGACTTTGTCTTAAATCTGAATATAGTAGCTAATGATATTGGAATTGAAAGATCAGAAGAACCCAACCCTTCGGATATTTAATTCTTTTTTGTTAACAAGGGGACGTAGAAGATTGTTTCTTTTAAGTTATGGTGTACACACATTATTGTGTTTCTAAGCAAGAGATTAAGCTGTGTGATAGTAGAGCCTTTCATACAAATCATGAGGCCCTCTTTCTGAAATTTAATAATAACCTGACACTGCTTTTTACCAGCCTTGTCTTGAAAATTAGGATCAGATGTGGTGACATTATTTCTGCACTGATGAGCCCTCAAATCACAGCCATTTTACTCTTAGTTGAAGTGGCATATCATACTTGCTGAACTGAGAACTGAAGAGTCTTATGTCCAAGCATATCTTAAAGAAAAATGTGGGCTTTTATAGTTTGGACTTAGGATTTACAATAGAAACACGGAACCATGTGTATCAGTAATTGTGTAATATATTTTCTTTGACTTTTTTTCCTTCATACTGAAAGTGTTCTTGCTGGACTTGTGAACTAAATGAATTTAACCGTAAGAGTGGGTTTTGTTCTAATCCTTAGCCATCAGAAGTGGCATGACGCTGGGCCTAGTCTGTGTGCTTGCAGCTTGATGAAATGTGTGTTTTGTGATTGGGTGTGACAGATGGTACAGGGAAGCAATAGGAGGCCTCATTACCTTGAGAAGATGGCTGTGTGATGCGTTGACAATTGAGGGGAATCACTGTCCTCTCCAGAGGGAGGCTGTTGGGGCCACTTGCTTTTGAAATAGAAACCAATTTTTCAGCCTAATTCTTGGCTTTCTGAGCTGCACTCCTTCTGTGATAGGTAAAAGAATGTGAATAAATGTTTGAGGCTAGGAGTAGGGCAGTAATTTCTGCACAGTTCCTGCTTTTGAAATAGATTTTGGGGACCATTGAACTGCCAGGTAATATGGCAGTTTTGAGATTTACAAAATGCTTTCCTCAGAGCAATCTTTGTGAGGTAGAGAAACTGAGGCTCGGAAAGGTTAGATGACTTGACCGAAGTCATGTAGCTTAGTAAGTGTTGGGGATCTGAACTCAGGTGTCAATACCAGATCCAACACTTTTTCTACTGTACCCCATGAGAAAAGTTTCTAAAGATCCAAGTACAGAGGGATCTAAATGCTCTTCACCATCCTGGTACCCCTTTGGACACATTGTAGGTTAACAGGGTCCTTTCTAAAATGTGCCCTGAGCCAACCATGGTGCTCCAGGTAGGGTCTGACCAGAGTGGACTAGAGCTCTCTTGTCCTATATACTGTGCCACTTCTAACACTGCCTGAGATGGCATTAGCATGTTGGGCTTCAGTACCATGATGTTATCTCCTGTTGAGCTTGCTGTGTTTCCTTTCCAATCCAAAGATCATTTTCCTAGACAGAAATTTACAAAGCAAAATAAGTAGAGTACTTATGTCTCCTTTTGGTCATCTGTTATTATTGTCCCATGCACCTTAGCTGTAGCTATAATATCCTTTCTTTCAAGATTCTCCAACTTTTGTATTTGTCCTCCATTACCTCCCCTTGCTTCTTTTTATTTTTAAAAATGTTCTGTTGATAGCTTTTGCATCATCTTCATTTCAAATTGGTATCTCTCTCCCACCTAAAGAGCCATTCCATGTTACAAGAAGAAGGAAGACAAGATCTACATCCATTTCTGCAGACACCTTCCTTTTTTTCCTTCTCCATTCTGTTTCTTTTTGTAATTTCAGAATATTAATTTTGAGAGCTTCCTATCCCTCCCATGCTGACTTTCTCATGACCTAAGTTTTATAGGGAGCCTGCCTCTTGTTTTGTAATAAGGCTTTTTGAAGTCTGTCATTCCGAAATTCAGAGCTTGACCTGTAGGTCAAGCTATATCTTTGTTTTTTCTTTCCTTATGAATTCCAAGGTGGAGTGGCTATTTTCCCCAGAGGTTCTACTTTAGTATCTAGCAGTCCTATCACGTGCTAATTGAAGTAAACTGAAAGAATACATTGGGGCCTGAAGGATGGAGGAAGAGAAGGGGGGCTTATGTGAAGGTAGAAAGAACACAGTTGAAGCATCTGGAGATTCAGATTCTCACCTCAGCTCTGCCACTAACTGGAACTATAACTATTAGAATTTTGGCTGACTCATTTCATCTTTCTGAGCCTCAGTTTCCTCAAAGGTAGAATAAGGGAGATAGAGAAAATGATCTGAGGTGCTTCTTGTTGATTTCTTTCATGAACATTTATTAGCGTTGTTCTTCAGATGACTGCATCCTAAGAATTATTTGAGGTTTGTTGTCATGAGTTTTAAAAATATGCCATACCTTCCCCTACATTGTCTCCTCTCTTGAATGCCCATTAACTCTCTTGTCTTCTGCCATCTTGGGTAGGAACTTCAGTTGCCCCAGACTTGGTGGGGACACTGAACCTTGTAGCTACAATTTTAAGATCTCTCTACCCCTAGGCTTTGCTTTAAAAGTGTTCTATCTGAGGTCTCAGTTCCTCTTCCTGGGTCAGGGGTATGGTTTGCGTCTGTGTGTTGTGATGTTGACTTTGAGCCTTCCATATCCTTTTACTAGATATGTCCTGTCGTTCAAGGCTTGCAACACTAAATGAGAAACTGACAGCCCTGGAACGGAGAATCGAGTACATTGAAGCACGGGTGAGCATAACCAGGGAGCTACCTTATCTTGAGGTGGGACAGAGATCCCCAAGGGAAGAGCTTGGTTGGGAGTTCTCGATGAAGGGACTAGATATACACCTTCTCTAATCGTTATAAACTGAGTTGTGTCCATTTTCCTTTGACAGGTAACAAAGGGCGAGACCCTTACCTAGACCAGTGCAATATACCTGCTGGACAGTCGCCTTGGAGAACACAAGCCTGTGTGGGAGAGGCGCCAGCAGACTCCAGCTCCTTCCTGACTCCTTACAGAGTGCCAGGGCTTGTTCTTGCTTTTCTGTTTTGAAAATGTGGCCTTTGGGCTCTACCATTTGCATCTGTGGGTGTGTGGAGTGGGGGAGAAGTCCAGGGGGAACTCTCGGAAAAACAACATCGGGCATTTTACTTAAATGACTTTTTTTACATGGAGATATTTTGTCAAAGTGGTTGAAAAGCTGGAAGTTTGGGACCCTCCTAAGATGCCCTTATCAACCTCTTCTTCAGTCCCTGCCCCGCCGCAGCTTCCCAGGTGTGAGATGGCTGAGCAACATTTCCATCAGACCCACATTGTCGTTTCCAGGAGGGCTCTGTGTTCACTGCCGATCCTTAGTGGGGGTGCTGTTGGTTTGTCCAGGCTGATGCCCTCCACTGGGGTGCGTTGGCTGCCATAGAATGTTGTTACTAATCTGCCAGGTTTTCTGTCCTCTCAGGGGAGATGGGGCTGGGCTCTCACATGGCTGGAGGGGCCATTTTCAGAGTCTGTTTCTTTTTTGTCATGTGAGGTGTCTCTACCTGTCATGTTTTCCCAATAAACTTCTCAGCTGTATCAGATTGATGTGATTGAGGTGGGGGGAGGAACAGATGAAGATGAAAGTAGCCCCTTGGCCTGCCCCCCCCCCCCCCATTCGGGAACACTTGGTTTTCTCGGAGGCAGGCCTTTGTGTGCGTTGTTTCCATTTATCTCCAAGCCATGGCCAGCACTTGGACAGCTGCCTGAATGGTTCATCCATGGTACGATGGAAAGAGCTCAGAATTGGAAGTCTGAGGAACTGGGTTCAAATTCCATTTCTGCCATTTTCTCCCAACTGACCTTTGGCCAGTTGTCTCAGGGCCTCTCAGTTTCCCAATTTTTAAAATGTAAGGGTTGAATTAGATATGACACCTAAGGTCCTTTCCAAATTTCAGTGGTCATATGACCCAGGAAATGATGTCAGAATGTAACAGATCTCCATTTTCTGAAGAAAGACCATCCTTTGCTCTAAGACCACTGCCAAAATTCTTGTGGGATATTTTTATTAAATTTGGAAATAAGTATAGTTCAACGTAGACACAACTCAATTTACTATTTTAAATGTTCTATTTTATTGTTGTTGCTGTTGTTACCAAAGTGGCAGCATGACCTCAAAGCCAGAAAGACCTGGGTTTCCATCCTACCTCTGACACGTATTAGCCATGTGACCTTGAGCAAGTACTGAACTGTCCTCTTTGTAAAACGAATTTCCTCATTTGGGAATTTTCTGGACCAGGGAAATCATGGGTCCAAGCCCCTCTTCCTAAATATTGTTTAGTAATAGTAGTTGCTGTTTGAACGTTACTAGAAGTGTCTTAAAAAGCACTTTACAATCATTTTGACTTATTATTCCTGCCTCCTGTGTCTTTGGGGATTAGGATGAAAGTGTCTCTGGTGCCCCTAGCTCTGTATTACCCAACCTGAAGCCAGTTTTAGGGGCTAATCAGTAGCAGTGAACTGGTCTATCTAGCTGGGCAAGTACTTTCCATATGCATGACTGCCTATTTTAATTTCCTGTTGCCAGTGTTTTATTCATAAACACATATAAGATTTTAAATTTGTTTCCAGGGAGCCATGAAGTGGCCTAATATATTCTGCTGCTAATAATAACTCCTTGACTATAAGCAAAGCAACCAATAGCACCTGGTCTGTTTTTTCTGGATATAATATTTTCACGTGACACTCTAGGGTGTGTCAGTCTGCTTATTTCCCTAAGGTTCCACTCATTTTCCCTAGAATTTTTCAAAGTAAAATGTTCTGTCTGGGCCACCATTTATTCCTATGTGTATCTATCTTCCTCTCTAGAGTAAGGGCTTTTTGGGGCAAGGAGCTGCTTTGAATTTGTGTCCCCATGGCTTAGCTTGGTGTTTGGCACAGAGTAAGTACGCTTCATAAATGCCTTTTCTTTCATGCAAGTGACTCAGGGCATAACTTGGTATTATGGCTGTCCCTACCTTCATTTTTCAGGCATGTAGGTGGTGAAGTGGATAGAAAGCCGGCCCTGGAGTCAGGAGGACCTGAGTTCAACTCTGGCCTCAGGCATATACTATCTATGTGACCCTAGGCAAGGCACTTAACCTTGTTTGCCTCAGTTTCCTCATCTGTAAAAAGTGATCTGGAGAAGGAAATGGCAAACCACTTCATTATCTTTGCCAAAAAAACCTCGAATGGGGTCATGAAGAATTAGGACAAGACTAAAATGGCTCAACAACAACAAACTTTTTTCAAGAAGGTTTAGGAGTTTCCCCTTAATAGGCCTTTGCATTTTTCATTTCCACCATTGTTTCACTTGTTGGCAGCCCTAGCCATAGGGCTCTTTGAAGGTCTCATTGCAGAGTTGAATTCCCTTGAAGTATGTCTTTTAAATTGTGTTTCCAAAAGACTTGTCTCTGCAGTGTGCACTCTTAGATTCAAGCCAGCTCTCCCTGGCCTGGAGGTTTTAGAATAAAGCCTGGCAACTTTTGAAAGACCCAGCTTGATCAGGGTCAAAGATAGGCCTTCTTACTTGTAAGTCACATGTGGGTGTTATGTGCTAAATTAATTTTCCTTCCAAAGTGCTAGTTTTTTTTTCATCTTTTTTTTTTAGAAGAACAGCTTTTCTATCAACAAGTGATAATAATTTACTTGGGCTTTTTACTGAGTCTTATTCCTATGAAAAGTGGCAAATGAATACAAAGTGCAAAAAAATATTTCCTGGCCACCTACTATACTAGGAACCTTCAGAGCATACTTTTCACTGCCTTACCCTTGGATGAATGCTCTGTTCTTCAGGAGGTTTGGAACAGGGAGTTTCTTTACCCGAATAGTTTTTAAATCCCGTTTGTAGATGAAAGGAGTCTTTAGCCTGCTCTGTTTTTCAAATCTCTGACTTGAGCCAGACTCTGCAGGGATGGAGAGAAATAGAATGTAAGGACTGTCAACCTCCAGAGTTTGGACTAAGAAAGACAAATGGAATTAGGTTGTTTTTGTGTGTATTTCTCTGAAAGTGGGCAGAGCATGGATGGGGAGCTGCAGTCAAAAGCTGAGCTCTCTTTGGGGTTAGGCTGCATAGTTTATGTACCCAACAGGGGCTGATGTCACTTTATCATTTCACCTCTTGACAGAGAAAATACCTCTTTACACGACCACCCCCAGTTTTGGGCTATCTAGACAAAATAATCTGTCTCCTCCCGAGCTGGAGTAGAACACAATGAGCTTCCCTACTTTAAATTCCTTGGGAGCTTGTTTGGGGGGGGGGAGAACTGATCTAAATAAAGAGAGTCGATGCAATCTCATCAGTAATGTCTTTCTGAAGAAAAAAACTAAACTTAAATTCAGGGCTTTGGAAGAAGGGGATGGGAAGCTCTGAACTGCCCCAAGATACTGGTTATGAATAATCAGTTTGTGATAGTACTTTGGAGGGATTTCTGGGTTCAGCAAGTGAACACTGCAAGGATCTCAGGTATGTCAAGCTCGAGGGATGCTTGGTCTGCCTCCCGATTGATTCTGATTCCCAGGTCAGTTCGGCCTCCTTAATCATAAGGAAGCTCAAGCAGATCTAAGTGGTTAGTAAGGTCATTAACCATTCTGTTTTCACAATTTTTAGAGGACCAAATTCCAGCTTCTCAACCTTGTTATTTACTCTGACCTCTGAACTTTTTATAAAGTCAAAAAATAGGATTCTCATAGAAAATGCTAAATTCAGTGTTTTCTCTCTCTCAGAGATCTCCCCCAGATGTTGCTTTTGCTTTCACACAGATGCCCCCCAAAACATTTGTTCCTATTAATTGGTATCCTCGACTTTCTGATGATACGCTTCAGGAAACCTTGCTTGGTGATCCAAAGGTTGGTGGCTCTACTGCTAACCCTAAAGAAATGTGGCTACTTACACAGAGGTGCCCTGCCCTTTAAGATTATATAAGAAGGGGCAGTTCGGGGGCGCAGTGGATAGAGCTTTGGCCTTGGAGTCAGGAGGACCTGAGTTCAAATCATTGGGCCTCAGACACATAACACTTACTAGCTGTGTGACCTTGGGCAAGTCACTGAACCCCATTGCCTAGCCAAAAGATTACACAAGAAAATCAAATAAACCTAATTTCCATCTCTGGAGAAAGCAACACAGGCACAGCTACAAGTTGTTGCCAACTCTGTCACCACTAACTCTAAAAAGCCCCTAACAGAGAGGATCAATTTTAGAGCTGGAAGTGACCTTCACGTTCAAGAATACAGAATGACTGGTCTCCTGGATGCCTAGCCTGTCTACTATTACCTAAGCTGCATTTGACAAACCAGTTATCTGTTTGGTCTTCCATAGAAATTCCTTTTTGGGGCAGCAAGGTGGTGCAGTGGATAGACCTGAGTTCAAATCTGACCTCAGACATTTGACACTTAACTAGCTGTGTGACCCTGAGCATGTCATTTAACCCCAACTGCCTCACTAAAAAGAAAAAAAAATTCCTTTTGGTGTCCTTTTTTCCTGGCACTCTGATAACCTATTATTTCCAAAGACTGGGAAAGATACTATTTCATCCTATTGGATGTTTTGGAGAATTAAAAGAGGCTAGTCAGTTCTTTGCTGAGTGAAGGCCATTGTTTCCCTAGGGAAGTCTTCACTTGAGAGAACACCACAAATATTTCCTGTTTTCAGCCTGTGACTATTTTCTAAGACATTCCGATTCAGGGGGGGAGTAGGTGTCTACTCTCTCTCACCTCTGACCCAGTCAAGCTAGGTTTTTTTTTTTAAATACCTCCAGCCACAATTTATTTGGTAATTTCTGTCCAGATCTAAATCATCAGGACCAGCCATCTTGTTTCTTTATGCCACATCTACCATTACTTTTCTTCTCCAACCTTTTTTGATGTCAAGAATTGGTGACGTGGAGCAAGGAAATGGGAAAGGCTGTGGCCCTTCAGGACATGCCCAAATTTTGGAGTCCTAATTAATGTGGGTATTTTCTTAATAGGGGTGAGAGGTCTAGGGCTTTCTTTACTTCTTGCACTTCCGAGAATCTCCAAAGGCTTCAGTGAAATAAATCCTTTTCCAAATCTACTCAAATACTTCATGGAAAAGACTGGTTGGTTTTTTTAGGTCAGGCCTCTCAATTTTGCAGCACATCAGTAAAATCACTACAAGCCTAGGTCTTTTCACTAAGGTTTATTATGCTGTGAATAACTAACTGACACTGATGGGGATGAGATCTGGACCCCACAGAGGAAAATCCCCTGAACTTTCTCACATGGCCCAGTCCCTGGCATTCATGTGAAACATTGGCTCATCCCAGAATAATCCTTTCAACTGTCCATTCGTTGTGGCTCTGACCTTCAATTCTGTTACCTCTAACCCAGTCCAGTCCTTCATTGTCTGTTACCTGCAGGTCACCCCAGCTTATTAGCCAGTCTTCAATCCAGTACAAATTTTCCCACAATCTTTTTTTCCCTATAAAAAAGGTGTCTCATCTATCAAATGCTCATATTCTTAAAATCTGGCCCTCAGCATCACAAATGAGGAAGTTCTTAAAATCCCACTACTTCTATTGGCGATAAACCTTTGTCTCTGA